CAGCCCTTCTTCTATAAGTTAGCGCCCTTCCCTTTCCAGAAATGTACTTCTCTGTATAATACAGGGGTCTGCAACCTTAAATACTCAAAAGAGCCATTTGGACCCATTTCCCACAGAAAAGAAAACACCGGGAGCCACAAAACCTGAATGGGCGTGGCCAAGTCGATGTCACTCACTTCCACTAGTCACATGACCACCCCCTAGCCACGCCTACCCAGCCGGTCTTTAGGGCAGAGAACCAGTTGTTAAAAAACACCGGGAACCACAAAATCCTTTTAACATATATCTCTCTCCCCACTCTCCCTCTCTCTCTCTCTCTCTCTCTATGTCTCTCTCTCTCCCCCACTCTCTGTATCTCTCTGTCTCTGCCCTGGCTGCTTCTCCATCCCCTGCCGTGGCCCTTACCTTCTCAGGCCAGGCGAGGAGTGACTGGGAGGGGAGGGCGAGGGGCGGGGCCAGCCAGTGGTGGGATCACCTGACAGGGAGCCACAGCAGAGGGCCCAAAGAGCCACATGCGGCTCCGGAGCCGCAGGTTGCTGACCCCTGGTGTAATATAATGGAGTCTACTTCAGAGGTGGTATTCAGCTGGTTCGGATCGGTTCGCCCAAGCCGGTAGCGGAAATCACGGGTGGGCCCGTCCACCTGCCCTGGCGCTATGCCATCCTATTTAGGCACATTTTGATGCTGCATGCACGCGTGCAAGCCACGTGCGCGAGCACAGAGCATGCATGGAAGGCAGCGTGCTCACATTTGCGAACCAGTAGGTAAGGTAAGTAACTATCACCCCTAGTCTACTTAATCACTTGAAACTATAAGAACAAATCAGTTCACATATAAGAATAAGAAGGGAAGGGAAAGGAAAGGAAAGGAAAGGAAGAAAAGGGAAGAGAGTATGAAATAGCTTGGTTTTTTAAATAATTTTTCACTCGGGTACCTGAATGTCAGCAAAAGTACTAATTTTTTTTCTAATACATTCTCACTGGCCGAAACAGAATGGATAATAACCCAATATTTTATAACATACTCTGACATCTTCAGAGAATGCACGTTGAAGGGAGTCCAAAATTTAAGAAGATAAAAAATGTTAAATAAATGTTACAAGTCTACAGAGCCACAACCTCAAAGTGTTTGTTTTATATATAGTCAACTGTGTTGAAATAACCTTCATGATTCTTTAGAAAAAGGAGCAAAGAACAGACTATAAACTCTGGGGAAAGAGGTGAGGAGAGGAGAAATGAATGGATCATCTAACTTTAGGATCCTATTTTGTGCTGAAGAAAATGTGTGTGTTTAGGTTGACACCCAGAATATAAGCATGCATAGAAAGATAGATAGATAGATGATAGAGAAGATAGAGAAGATAGAGAAGATAGATAATAAATAGATAGATGATAGAGTAGATAATAGATAGATGATACATAGATAGATGATAGAGAAGATAGAGAAGATAGATGATAGATAAATGATAGAGAAGATAGATGATAGATAGATAGATGATAGAGAAGATAGATAATAGATAGATGATAGAGAAGATAGAGAAGATAGATGATAGATATAGATGATAGAGAAGATAGATGATAGATAGATAGATGATAGAGTAGATAATAGATAGATGATAGAGAAGATAGAGAAAATAGATAATAGATAGATGATAGAGAAGATAGATGATAGATAGATGATAGAGAAGATAGATAATAGATAGATAGATAATAGAGAAGATAGAGAAGATAGATAATAGATGATAGAGAAGATAAGAGAAAATAAATAATAGATAGATGATAGAGGATAGAGAAGATAGATAATAGATAGATGATAGAGAAGATAGAGATGATAGATAGATGATAGAGAAGATAGATAATAGATAGATAGATGATAGAGAAGATAGAGAAGATAGATGATAGATAGATGATACAGATAGATAGATAGATAGATAGATAGATAGATAGATAGATAGATAGATGATAGATAGGTATTTTAAAATCTGTGTGTTCAAGGATTGACTGGTTTTTCTTTTGATTCAATGTGTGGAGAGATTACTGAAATTAAACATGTCTTACTCAGATTATATAAAAAGACTCTAGGGCAGTGGTGAAATCCAAATTTTTTTACTACCGGTTCTGTGGGCGTGGCTTGGTGGGCGTGGCAGGGGAAGGATATTGCAAAATCTCCATTCCCTCTCCACTCCAGGGGAAGGATACTGCAAAATCTCCATTCCCACCCCACTCTGGGGCCAGCCAGAGGTGGCATTTGCCGGTTCTCCAAACTACTCAAAATTTCCGTTACCGGTTCTCCAGAACCTGTCAGAACCTGCTGGATTTCACCCCTGCTCTAGGGGAAACTATCAGAGGGATGGGAAGAGGGGAAAAGTCAATATTCCAGTATATATACTAGACACATAGTCCAAAGAGCCTGGAACTTCATTTCTTTAGTCAAAACTCTCCAAAACTGCCTAAGCCCTTACAGGTAGTTTTCCCCCTCAATTTAATCTCAAGAACAATATGGCTACACCTCCCAGAATGCCCAGCCAAAATGGGCATCTGGGAGTTGCTGCCCAACATTTGAAAAAATCATAAAAACAGAAATTCTGTTTTAGAAAACTGCCGGAAGACAAACAACTCCGATGTACGCAACCCATCCTCAAAAACATTCTACCTTCATAGGGTTGAACAACACAAGACATTTGATTTTTTTTCCCCCTGAAATACAAAATGGTAGATTTTCCTCGTGACCAGAGAGAAAAGAAGGCACTGAGTAAGCAACTAAATCCTCCATTTTACGGGAAGAGACAAGATTCCTAGTAACTTTGGGTAGGGTAGTGTATCTATTTCAGCCTGAATATCTGATCCTGGGAATCAACTAGCAAAGCCATTCCATAGAACAGTTTAAATCAGTGTTTCTCAAGCTTTTTTCTCTCTCAGGACCCCTTCTCACTTTTTTTAAAAAAATCATGGCTAGAACCCCCCCAAAGCTTTTATTGGTATAGGTTATATTTATCAATATTTATTACATTAAAAATTAAAATCGATGCATTTGCCTCCACAACTCCTTTTCTCAATGGGTTTATGGAATGTTAATTTCATATTAGCTTCCAATATAGATGGGCAAATCATCCTTATCTTGTAGACCCTTGGGAAGGCCTCGGGGGACCTTCAGGTACCCCGAGGCTACACTTGGGAAGAAACAGTGGTTTAAATAATCTTCAAAAGCAAGTCATCCCCATTGCCATTTAAGCTGCACCCTTCGGAGAATATGGAAGCGGACATGTTGTATGTTAGAATGAACTTTCATCGGCAAAACACTTTCCATGGTCATTAAACAGGCCCAACATTTCACAAAGTAGGAAAGAAGCTTTTGGTTTAATCTCTTCCAATGGCCAAAAAAGCTAGGTTTCCCCCACAAATGAGCGGCATTCAGACATGCAACATAGAGATCTTATTATGAATGGCTACCTAACACCGCAATCAATTTATAAACAATACTGCCCCAGGCCAAAGTAATAATATTTCACTTAACAGTAACCCTATAAAACGATCTTGAGAATAGACCACTCTAAGCTTAACGTGTCCCAATGGCCAAGCTGCATTTATAAAATCTCAGGATTTCTCCTTCATTACTCTTACATTGTGCAATTAAGAAATGCTGCAATGAAATATCATTACTGGCCAATCCTTATCAAGCACGAGGAAGATTAAATCGCCCAATAATATCTGACCCCCTCTTTCCCTCTAATTTTCTTTGAGCGCATTAAAAAACATATCCATGAAATGAGCATGGCACCACTGTCTTCTGTATGCTGTGCTGGATAGTTAAGGCAGCCCATTGTTTTCTTACAGATTTCTAATGAACATCTCTTTCTCCATCCTTTCATGGCCTACTACTGCCATTTCTAAAGAAGATGCATGGATATTTTTTAACCTTCCCATTTCTGCCCATGTTCTCCTATTTCTTTTCCTTTTTTTTTCCAGTATGAAACCACAGGGCTTTGAGCAAGGCAGAGAATTAATATAACTCAACTTTACCAGCTATTTCAGATTTTGGGTATGTAAATGTTTCTCTTCAATCAAGAACATGAAGTGTTGTAGTCATTGATTCTCATGTACAGTGTCCACTAAGCTCTTGGGACTAAAAAAAGCCTTGGTAGTACAGTGGTCTAAGGCACCCTGTTATTAAGCTGGTTATTAAGACCAGCTGCCTGCAATTACTGCAGGTTCGAATCTCGCCAAGGCTCAAGGTTGACTCAGCCTTCCATCCTTTCTAAGGTAGGTGAAATGAGGACCCAGTTTGTGGGGGCAATAAGCTGACTTTGTATAAATATACAAAAGGATGAAGGCTATTGCTGAGCACATTGTAAGCCGCCCTGAGTCTCCGGAGAAGGGCGGCATATAAATCAAATTAAAAAAAAAAAAAGGAAAAGTAGGTAGGGATAAATTAAACCTTAATTCAGAGCGCTTTATCATATGATAAGAATCCCTGTGCCCAAGCATTCAAACAAAGTTCAGGTAAGTTGAGATAGAACAAAGGGATGTCCAGAAAACAGTCTTAAGTTTCAGAAAATAAGATAGCAAGAAACTGGTCAATTCACAATTCACATATGGAAGGTGGCACCAGAGCCATTAGCAAACCATTTAGGACCAAGACTTATATAACTGAGATCAAGAAACTGAGTTTTAGTGAAATTGTTTTGAGAAATAAGATCCATTTCTTGCAAAGCTTAAAATGTAGCCCAGTTGGCTTTTCTTATCCTTCAGATACTTCTATTCTGAACAATAAGCTGCACCTACTGAAACCAACAGCCCAACATAAGATACACAGGTTTAAAGTAGTACCAGAAGCAAGAGAATGAAAAGAGAAAAGTCTAACGTTCCATTGGTAACCATGCAATTCCTTCCTTTACATAGCAGATATGTTTTTTTTTCCAAATGCAGAGAAAATGTATGTATCTATACCTCCCAATATTTAGAAAGGAGAAAAAAAAACAATGAAGATATTAACTACAAGGATTTGATTGTCAGCAAACACAATATATTTACTGCATTAGCATTTGCTCACAGTGCAAAGGGTACAACAATACATCTGTTCAATAATTCTGATTTTTCCCCCCTTTAAAATGCTGTCTGCATTAACCATCATATTTGCATTACAATATGACAACTGAGCAAATGAAATGTGTGTGTGAAAATTATCACTTTCCCTCCCCCCCACAATATCAAGCATTTTAACCTTAGTATAAGGTACTATAAATTCAAGAAATAAAAACATCCACAAAATATATTACATCTGGTTTGTCTTTTTCCCCTTTAAGTACTCAACTTTATACAAAAGTCTTCCAAAAAAATAGCATTCCCTTAAGATTTTTGTAGTTAAACCTGATTTTTTTTGTTTCTTTCAGTTTCACATAAATTAGACTGCATTTTTCTCTCTGAGAAATGTTTTTGATGTAGTTTTCTTTTTTTTTAAAACATGCAGACATCAAACCTGAATAAAACACAACCTTTTGGCAACAAGTTTTTTTTTTTTTAATAATAATTATCATTGTTTTGCTTAAATATCTGAGCATTTTTATTAAAACAAACAAAAGGAAAAGGAGAAAAAAAAAAGAGAGAGCAAAGACATGCAATGACATGCACGTACCGGAAGAAGAGGGGGGAAAAGACAAAACTTCTCTCCCCTTCAATTTAAATGATCCCCAAACAGAACAAAACCCTCCCAAAAATAACATTATAAAAAGTACGCATTAAAACACTGGTTGTTTTTTTTTTTTCCTGCATTTTTGAAAACAATGGGGTTTTTTTTCCTCCCCCTTAAAAAAATGCCACCCCAAATTCTTACAGAGTAGCCCTCTTTTTCTTAAAATGAGCATTTCCAGGGAGAGCTAGAAGGATCTGGAAATAGCTAATCTATGCCCTTCCCCTCCCCCATCAAATTGTAAGGGTGATTTAAACACTTTCATAGTTGCATTGAACACATGCATTACACACACACACACTCTCACACTCACATGCACGCACACACTTCTTTGAAAAAGGAACGGAAGGGTACCGGAGTGCATAAAGTGACTCTCAAAATAAGTCACTCCACCCAATGGATCATCGCATTTCCCTCTCTGGACCTCCAAGTCCCAGGAGGAAAATGAAGAAGGAGAAGGGGATCAGGAATACATTCAAGGTAGAGGGAAGTTGAGAGAAGCCCTCCCCCTCCCAATTCCATTTTTTTGGGGGTAGGGGGCTCTCTCCAGCCACTACATTCATGGGTACCATCAGTGAGTGAGTGACCTGAGGGAGGGAGTGGGGGGGTATGTGGATTGGCCTGATCATCCAAAAGAGCCTTACATCAGTTCTTGTCTCTGGGCTTCTCCTCCCTTGGAGAATTTACAGTTTGGAGTAGCTCAACTATTCTCTCCCCCCACCCCCGTGGTGGGATTCAGCCAGTTCGATCTATCTATCTATCCAGTGGTGGAATTCAGCCGGTTCGCACCACTTTGGGGAGAACCGGTTAACTTTCTGAGCAGTTTGGCAAACCGGTTGTTGGAAGAAATCATTAGGGCAGAGAACCGGTTGTTAAATTACTTGAAGCCCACCACTGCCCCACCCCCAAAGGTTTTAGGTCACACAATGCCCAACTGCTAACTAAAGGACCCCAATGTGAGGAGGAGGAGGAGGAGGAAGAAGAGGAAGAAGAGGATGGCCGGCCATTTCAGCCATTCCCCCAGGTGGAGAGGGCAGTGGAGGGTCAGAAAACAGGACAGCCAGGGGAAGGGGGCTGCTGCTGTTTGGGCTTTTGCTTTGACCTGGGTCAGGAGCTTACATGTGAAGCTGAGGTGTGGGGGGGGGTAGGGGAAGGGAGGGGAGGGGAGAGGAGAAAAGCAGAGGAGAGCAGCTTTGGAGAACCAGAAAAAAAAGGGGGGGTACTCTTTAGAAACCAAGAAGAACTGGAGCTGAACCCCCCAAATAGCAGTGGCAAAGGCCAGCAAGGCGCTGCCTAGGAAGGCCAAGCAGATCGGCAGGCAGCTAACCCAAAGGGTCGAGAGAGACAAGAGGAAAGAAGCCAGCCAAGCCCCCCCCCCCACTTCCTAGTCCTGTGCATTTTTTGTAAGGATCCAGCCAGATTTTTTTTGGATGCAAAAGCTACTCTTGAGTTATTGGGCCGGGGGAGAAGATAAAGTGGGGGAAAGGGGGGGCAGGATTAATTCTAAGGGTGCCAACAGTCCAGTTCAGCTCAAGGGGCCGAGGCACACACACCCACGCACAAACTTCCACGCACACCCCATGCAGGCACTGCGCTTTGGTGCCCCTCTCTATAGAGGGAGAAGAAAGAGGGAACGCTGAGAGGGGGGGGGAAGGAGGAGGGGGAGGGGGGCTGAAAGAATCCAGGTGGGCCCCGTATCCAAACTCGCGGGCCTCTCATTTACACGTGTCAGCCAGATCCAAACCCAGCTCCGACACCTCCGCCCATCTCTCCCCCACCTCTCCTCCCTCCGGCAGTTTCCTCTGAGAGAAGTGGCGCAGCCGCCGCTTCCCACAACTCCTTCTGAGCCCGCATAGGATCAAGACGATCCGGCGGAAAGTTCCAAGCCTCCCTTCCCACCATCAACTGGCCGGTGGGGGAACTGGAAGCGGGGCGCGCCGAGGCGGACGCCCCTCCCCACCCCCCCATCCCACTTTTCAAACGGGAGCCCGAGCAGGACTTGGCCAGCAGCCGCTCCTGCTGCGCGGGTTTTGCGCGAGGTCGCAACCAAAGGCAGCCTGGCTCGGGAGGCACTGGGAGTCGTCGGGGCGGCGGGGGCAGCGTCACGCGCAAGTGGTGACCACGGGAGCCAGGGCAGAGACCGCAGCCGAGCCGGAGGGCCCGCCGATGCCAGGGCCCCCGGTGGTGGAAGCCGCGGATCCCTTGTCGGCTTTCTTCTCCTTCTGCTTGAGGTGGATTTTGGCGTGCCTCTTGCGCTCGTCGCTGCGCGCGAACTTGCGCCCGCAGAACTCGCAGGCGAAGGGCTTCTCGCCGGTGTGCGTGCGGATGTGGGTGGTGAGGTGGTCGCTGCGGCTGAAGCTGCGCATGCAAATGCGGCACTGGAAAGGTTTGTGTCCCGTGTGGATGCGCAGGTGTCGAGTCAGCTCGTCGGAACGCGAGAAACGCCGGTCGCAGCCTTCGGCCGGGCAGGCGTGAGGCCGTTCGTGGAGAGGGGTCTTGCTGGGCCGGTTGGGGTATTTGCGCGGTCGGATGGGCTTAAGGGTGAGCGGCTGCTGCTGCTGCTGCTGGAGGCTGCCGAAGCCCGGGTGGATCTGTTTGTCCTTGAAGGCTTTGATGGTCTCCAGTGGGGTGATGGGAGGCGGGTTGACGCGGATGGGATCCAGGTTCTGGAAAGGTTTGTGTTCGGGGAGGCTGCCCAGGTCGTTGGGATGCCCGTGGTAGAGATTGTAGTCCGGGATCATGGGGAAGAGGTTGCCATCCAGGCCGCTGGCCTGCTTAGCTCCTTGGTAGTCCTGCGTGGGGTAAGCCAAGCCGGCTGCGTTGCCCTGCGGGTCGTGGAAAGACACCGGATCTCCCGGGTAAAGGTCTCCGCAGGTGGAGTAAGGGGGGAGCGCAGGGTACATGCCGTCCACTTCGGCTTGGCTTTGCACTTGCACCATGCTGCCCGTCGAGGCCTGGGCGCTGGAGGAGGGCGGTGGCACCCCCAGGATGCCGCTGCTCATCAGGCTGATGATGTTGTCTTGGCACCAGTTAGACGGCGAGTCGAAGGCGAACTTGCCCAGGTAGGTCACCGTCTTGTTGCCCCCAGGAGCGGGCTGGAAGGAGCCCGAGTAGGAGGACAAGTCCTGGCCGACCTTGTCGTTGGCTAAACCAATATCCATAACATTATCTGCGAGGGGCGAGAGGGAGAGAAACGGGGGAGAGGGTGGGCGAGAGAGAGAGAGAGAGAGAAAAGGTGAGCGATTGGGGGGCTAGGAGGAACGGGGGAGAGAGAGGAGGAGATGGGGGTGGAATCCTGCCTGGCGAGGGAGGGGAGGGGAGGGAAGGGCAGGCGAAGGAGGGAAGGGTCCAAGGGTCCTCGCTTTTTTTGCCAAGAAGCCTCGTTCCCCAGCTCGGACACTCGCGATGCCCAAATTGGAAGCTGCGCCTCGGTCGCCTGGAGCGCCTCGGGACTTGCGCGCCCGAGAAGAATAGGAAAGGCGCCGGCGTCAGGAGGCCGCGGAAGGCGGAGCCCTCGCGCTAGATCAGCAGGGAGGGGAAGCATTTTTGAAGGCTTAACTTGCTTACGGACAGACCCAAAGACAAGACACAGAAATACAACGGGGAGGAGGGGGGGGAGGGAAAGCTGGGGAAGAAGGCGCCCCCACCTCCTTTCCCCACGCGGGCCAGGCTCTGGGGTCGCCAAGCAGGCTGGGCTGCCCCTTGGAGAGACTCCTGCCTCGCTAGAGACACACAAGAGAGACGAGACATCATGCTAGGAAGAGACCCACAAGGAGCGCTCGCACGGCCCTACCAGTACACGCGTGTTAAGAGAGAACCCAGCGAGACAGGGAGACGCGCGCGAGAAAGAAAGCAGCTAAAACACCTGTACCTCCAAAACACCGCCGCGTCCTCTGCGCAGGCCGTTCTCTGCGGCCTTTAAAAAAAAAAAAAGGGGGGGGGGGCGTCTCGATCCAGGCCGAATCCAGAGCCAGAGCCTAGGAAGGTCCTACTACTACCCAGCCTTACTCTTTGGGTAGAACTACAGCCGCCAAGCGCTGGGCCAAAGAGGCGACCTGAAGGCTTGAAATGGGGACTGTCGGAAAAGGAACCCTAAGCAGAGTTGCTGTGTCGGAGGGGCGGGGAAAACAGCGCAGGTCGCAGGTACCTGAAGTTCTCAGGCTGGCGAGAGCGAACTGTCTGTCTGTCTGTCTCTCTGTCTCTCTCTCTCCAGGCGCTTTCCCACCCCACCGAGGCGGTCGGGGACCTCCACGAGAGTTTTACAAACTTGCCAGGGATTTCTGCGTCGAGGCCAGTTTTATGAAAAATACAAAGGAAGGAGGAGAAGCTGATTTTTTTTTTGTTTTATTTTTGGGTATGTGCTGGTTTTCCCTCTCTCCCTGAGCGCTGGGGGGTGGGTGGGGAGGAGGCAAAGGATTTGGGGGAGAAAGGTGGAGAGGGCCGGCTAATCAAAGGATGCGGTGGGGCAAGGCTGAACTGAACCGAACCGTAACCCGGTCCTTTGAAGCTTGGAAGAAAAAAAAGGGAGAATCTCTTCCCCTGACCTCTGGGTCACCCCACACCTCCCCTTCCCGAGAGACACCCAAAAGGAGACCCTGTCCGTTTCGGATTCAGCCCAAGGGCTTCTGCACGGGAAGAGGAAAGCCGGGGGGAGGGGGAGAGGCGGGGACGAAGCCCCCTTCCTTCCCCACCTTGTACCTCCCCCCCTCCTCGCTGCTCTGCCCTGCCCTGCCTGCCAGCCACCTCTCTCTCTGTGCCTCTAGGAATCCTCGCCAGCCCCAGGCTCCCCCACCTCCCCCGCCAGTTTTAAGAAAACAGAAGGGTCGCCTTCACGCGCTTCTCCACCCCTCCTGATTCCGACATGATGGATGTAGCAGTAGAGAAAGAAGAAGGATGAGAGGGGTGGCGTGGGGAGGGGAGGGGAAGGGGGGGCCCGGCATGCCAGCGCAGCGACGGATGGCAGCCTGTGCCACAGAGAAGCCACGGGCACATGGAAAGGAAGGAACACACACGCACAGACACAAACGCACCCAAGAATGGAAGCGCATAGAAAGAAGTGCGCCAGGGGAGAAGGAAGGGACCCTCGTTCCCACGGCCTGAGGCGCACCGACAACAGAACCGCAGCCATCCCAGGGAGGCCTCTGAAAGGCAGAGAGTCCTGGTCTGGGGGGGCCAAGGCGGAGACACGGGGCTGCCAAGGGTCCCCTCTCTCGCCCGCCTCCAGCAGCTTCCCACCCACCCTCCTACCTTCCAGGTTCTGCCTCCTGCCATTCTCTTTGCGCCGAAGAAGAGAGGGAGGTGTACAGTCTCAGCCTCGGCCTCTCCGCCGGCGTAAAGCTCCCCTCCCATCATCTCCGTGGCTCCCCCACGGCAAACACAACGTTTTCCCCTCCCTCGCAGCCCCCCCTCCTCTCCCCCTCCCCCTCCCCAAGCCTCGCCTCTCTCCCTGCCTCGCTTACCTGTCGCCATCTGGTTATTATAGTGAGCCACCGTTGCCTCGCCGTTGCCGGAGAAAATGTTGAGAGAGTTGGGGATCTCCTCCGGGTACAGATTCTCAGGCAACTGGCTCATCAAACCGTTCATGGTCCCTGGCAGCTTCTCCACGAGTTTGCCTGTCATAGCACTGGAGGAGGAGGAGGAGGAGGAGGAGGAGGAGGAAGAGGAAGAGGAGGAGAGACCGAGGCAGCTGCCGCCGCCGCCGCCGCTGCGCCACCGGGGGGTTCAAAGTGACTCCGTGCGCCGTTCCAAACAAGGCGACATCCGAATGGCAAAATCCGTGCGGAGGAGCTCATGCGAGAGAAAAGTTGCGGCGATGGGGAGGGAGGGGGAAGAGGGGAGGGGGAAGGGGAAGGGGAAGAGGGGAGCTGCGAACGGGGGAGGGCCGGTGGGTGGGTGGGGTGGGCCGGGGAGAGGGGGTTGGAGAGCGCGCAATCCTCGGTAGATCCCGGGAGGTGTTTTCCTGGATGGCGGAGGACGAGGAAGAGGAGGCAGGACAAGCCCGTTCAGCCTTGCGGAGGTGCGTGGAGAAGGCGAGGGTGGGAGCTCTTTTGAATCCTTGTCCCCCACCCACCCACCGCCCCTCTTCCCCTGCCCCACGTCCTCTTCCCTCCCCGGCCTTCGCTCCTCGCTCCCCTTCGCCTGCTTCGTCTCTTCTCTTTCCTCCGCTCAGCCGGTTTTCTCCTCTGCAGCCCAAATGCCCAGCCAGGGAACTCCACCAGCTATTTATGTGAGCGTGAGAAAAGCTCCATGACGTAGCTGCCCATATATGGACAGACAAAGCCGAAGCCGAAGCCGCGACGTCACAATGGAAGCTCCTCACAATGGAACGTTTTTTTTCGAAGGCAGGAAGCTGGGCAGCCCGACTTCGCTTCCCAGCCAGCCAGCGAGCGAGCGAGAGAGCGAGCTGGGCGCCCCGGACCAACAACCTTCGGCCAGAGCGCAGCGCCGGCTTCTCTCGGGGGGCCCCCCGTTCATTTCTCCAAGCGAGCCCACGCGAGGCCAAAGGGGCTAGGGCTTGGAGAGCATCCCTAGGCCGGAGAATCCCCAGCGCATCAGTTGGAGAGAGCCGGGGGCCTCGCCACAGGACTCCTGGCTGGCCAGTGGTTTACCTCTGGGTCGGCTTCGGGAGAGAGGAAGAGGAGGAGGAAGAGGAGGCAGTAAGCAAGAGACGCGCGGGCGGCATTTGGCGGGGCGCCCCTTTGCTTAAACCCGGGTCGCCTCTTGTGGCTTTTGAACCTTTTAATGCTGGACCCCCCCCAAGAGGGACCCTTGCGCGCTCCCTCATTCAAAGAACTGGAGAGGGGGGGAGGGAGGCGTTAAAGAGGGGCGCTGGGGCAGGCTTGCCCCCTCCCCATGTGGGGTCACTTCATAACACAGCAAAAGACCCCCGTGGATGGCCGTGCTTCCCACGCACCCACCCACCCACGCCCAGACTATATAACTGCTTAGGAAGTTCTATTAAAAACACTCCACTTAAAGACAGAGGAAGCTGGAAGTATTTATTAAAGACAAATATGTTTCTTTCCGGAGGGGGGAGCCGTTTACGATAAACGAAGAGACTTGTTCAAGCCACCATTCAGTATTTATAAGCCATGCTGCATTTTGGTCTTGCAAAGTATACCGGGAGAGTCTGAAGACAGCCCCCCACCTCGCCCAACCCGCGCCCAACCCATTGCGGAGCGCTTCATCCGAAACAACAACCCTGCGAGGTTGACCGACAGCGGCCAGTTTGAATTCCTCTCTCCTAAGTTCTTAACTACCAGTTAACAAAACATGCCAGAGTTAAACGTGGCCAAGCCTCGAGACGCTTGGCTAGCGTTGCGCGCAACTTTATGAGCTCGCCAACCTCCTACCTTTTTCCTCCAAGCAGCTCAGGATGGGGTCCTCCCCCCCGGAGGGATTTTCCACCTTATCGTCGGAACGGGCCTGCGAAGGGAGGTTAAGGCTAAGAGAGGCCCGCGATCGGGCTCAAGGGGGGGGGGGCAAAACCCTTGGAAGGCATCGGGAGGATTCGGAACGCGAGTCCAAAGCTTTTTTTTTTTTTTCCAAAGGGTTAAGCAAAAAAAACGGAAACGGCTAAAGAAGAAAACAGATCTGCTAGCAAACATCCGAGAGATCCCGCCAGGCTCTCCCCGCCAGTCCCAGATCCTCGCAGGTTAGACCTAAAAAAGAGCCCAAGTGGCAAACATTTTGGGAAGAGGCGAGGCAAGCCCGGCCTTGCTAAGGATTCCCGGAGCAGCGTCTGGCACCGGAGTCCGGGTTTTCGTGGGATTTTGTAAGGTAGCAGGAGAAAGCTCGAAGCAGACGCATTAAACGCCTGCAGTTACGGGGGACGGAGTAGGGGTGGGGGGTGGGGAAGCGCCTGGAGAGTTAAACTACAGTCGCCTAATTCTGCAACCCTTCCCCCCTTCCTCCTCCTCCTCCTCCTCCCCCAGGTGTGTTTTTTCTCCTTTTAAATCCAGGCACGGTAAACATACTAAGACTTTGGAACGGTTTCAGATAGGGGGAAACCCTGGACCGCCTGTGTGATTTTCATCCTCTCCTTCCCTCCCTTTTTTTAAAAAAAAAAGTTTGGCACTTGCGAGGCGTCAGAAATTAGGTGGTTTCGTGCTAAGTGTGCCAACTGATGCTATCTGGAAATAATAATAATTTTTTTTAAAAACAAAAACCCTGCGAGGTATGTAGCAAATGTTATGGAAAAATTATCTGTTGCAACAGCTCCGCTTACCTAACTCCTGCGCTGTAAGAGGCAAACCCTACAAAGTGGAGTGAAAGGCAGCTTGGATTTGGGAAAACGGGGGGGGGGGGGGGGAGGTTGGCCAAGAGCCTAGGGCAGTCAGAGGCGAGGGAGTCTTTCTCTCCCCCCCCCACGCCTCCCCCTCCAGGTGCGTGTAAGAGGTCTTCAGGTCTCGGGCGTAAATATTTATTATGGCACCTTCTTTGTTTACTGCGGATGCGTCTATGCGAGGTCGTGAGTTTATTGTCTCTCTTTCTCTCTCCAGTAATGTTTCACTCTCAGAGACGGTGTAAATACTTCATGCGGTGTTTTTAGCAACATCTCCGGGACTGGAGGGTTTCCCACTCACACACACACCCCCACTCTCAGTTGAATCCACAAACTTGGGAATTGCTAACAGTTCCCCACTGCAAGACCAACCTTGCTTTACTCTTTTCCGGCATCTCTCATGTTGGTCTGAATCCCTTTACTCGGGGGAGTAAACTTCAACGAGAACAGCGCGCCTGGCTCCAAGTCAGCCGCTGCGCATCGCGCTGCAATCTCAGACCGACTTCCGAGGCCCGTTCCTTTGGGAGAGGCTGGGGGGAGGAAGGAGGGGTGTTTCAGATGGACGCTAAGGATACTATTAGCTATGGAACCGCACCGCTGTATAACTCGGAGGAGGAGTAGCCGCCATCCGTGCACCACCCTTTAGATCTGTTCTTGAAGGAAGGTGGGTTGCCTCGGAGAAAAGCGCTCCTAAAGGAAGGTACGTGGGGGAAGGCACCGGCGGGAATTATTTATATTTAGCTTTTTTTTTGGAAGTGCTAGAAACAGGATTGCCACCAGCGCCAGGTGTTACTTCTCGGGAGTTGCAAATAATTCCCCCTCCCCCCCCACAACAGGGATTTGGAAGGCTGAACTTTGCAGGGAAGGCTGCCCATCCTCCTGATGGGATGGGGGGAGGGGGAGGGAATGGAAGGGGGAGAAGGGAGTAGAAAGAGGGAGAAAGTGACAACAGCTCCCCTCAATCTTGGAGGATAAATTTTTGATCCGTGCCCATCGTTTCCGTTCGGACAGTGGGCAAAAAACTTCCTTTTTTCCTAATGGGAGGGGGGAGGGAAAAGAGAGGTAAAAAGCCGCTCCCCCCTCCCCCCCTCACTCCGAACAGGATGCTGGAGACCCTCGTTGCCTTCCCAAAGGGATTTCTGGAGAAGCTGCGTGCTTTGGGGAAGGGGAGAGGTTGGGGGGGGGGGCACGACTGCAAAGAAGTTGAGCTTTTGATCTGACCGCCGGTTCAACCGGCTGAAAACCAGACAGGCAGGCAGCAGCCAACAGTATTTCCCCCCCCCCTCCATCCCCATGGGGAGAGGGGGGCGGAGGGGAGCCAGCGGGGTTTCCGGACTGGCCTTGAGCTCAGCCTTTCCAACGGGAGCGGCGCTTCGCCAGGCGCTGATCCTGGTCCTGGAAAGAGAAGTTCGCGAGCGGAGCAAGGAACCCGGAGGGAGGGAGGGAGGGAAGAAGTGGGAGGCAAGAGATGTGCAAAAAAAAAAAAAAAAAGGGGGGGGGGAAGGAGGGTGCGAAAGGATCCCCCTCCCTCCTTTCCCTCCTCCTCCTCCTCCTCCCTCGACTTGGGGATGCTCCAAAGAGTCGAGACTGAGCGAAACCTCCTCGGGGGTGCAGCCAGGTGCCTGCAAAGGGGGTGAGAGGGAAGCTCTATGCATATATATGTATATATATTTATGTGTGTGTGTGTCTTTTGGTGGTGCATCGCGGGGGCGGCCCGCCAGGGAGCCCCGAGCTCGGCTTGGCTGGGCCGGCAGCCGAGGGGAAGCACCATACAAGGCCAGGATCCGGCTCCGCCTGGGATGCCTTATTTGGAGGCAGGTTCCGGCTCCCGGGTGGCATTTCTCCCCTTCCACCTCCTTCCTTCCCTCCCTCGATCTGCTACAAGTGGAAAGAGAAAGAGAGACGGAGCGGAACCCCCCCCCCCCACCAGGCCTTTCAAGGCGCCGCCTGCTCCCGGGGGGGGGAGTGGGGGGCAACAGCCGGCTCTGGAGACAGCGGGAAAATGCGAGTGGGGGGGAGAAAGAGAGCAGCAGGGCCCGGCCAAGGCGTGGGCAAAGGACACCCCCGCGTGGAAATGCTCCCCGCAGCCAAGATTGCGTTGCAAGCGAGGAAGGAACCCGGCTCTCCATCATCTCCCTCTCCTCCTCTTCCTCTTCTTCCTCCCCGTCCGTTGCAGCAGCCGGGGAAGCTGCGGAGGGAAACGGACGCCCCCTCGCCTCTTCCAACCCCCAGCACCCCCCCCTTCCCCCTCTTCTCCTCTCCCCTCCTGGCCCAGGCTTGCTTTCCTTCGGTGCCAGATTCTCTGCTTGCTTGCAATGGGCACGCATGCGCCCGCGCGCGAAACTTTAAAAACTAAAATATGCTGGGAAGCCAGAGAGAGGCAAATTTGACCGGGCGTAGCTTGCAAAATTCACCCCCCACTTCTCCGCTTGCTTAAGGCAGGAGATTAACCCTCTGCATTGCAAGAAAGGCGGGTTAATGATTCAAAAGCACCCAAATATAATTTGGCTGGTGTTCTTTCCTCCGGTTGTAATAACAGGAATAAGAGTTGGAAGAGAGGGGTGAAATCCAGCAGGTTCTGGAGAACCGGTAGCGGAAATTTTGAGTAGTTCAGAGAACCGGCAAACGCCACCTCTGGCTGGCCCCAGAATGGGGTGGGAATGGAGAGTTTGCAATATCCTTCCCCCAGGAGTGGGGAGGGAATGGAGATTTTGCAGTATCCTTCCCCCCCAGTGGAGTGGGAATGGAGATTTTGCAATATCCTTCCCCCAGGAGGGGAAGGAATGGAGGTTTTGCAGTATCCTTCCCGTGGAGTGGGAATGGAGATTTTGCAATGTCCTTCACCTGCCACGCCCACCGAACCGGTAGGGAAAAATTTTGGATTTCACCCCTGCCTTAGAGGTCATCTAATCCAGGGGTCCCCAACCTTTCGGACCTCAAGGACCACTAAATTCATCATTTTAAATCCCGGGGACCACTAATATGATCTGCCTAATGACCGGCTGGGTAGGCGTGGGTAGGTGATCATGTGACTGGGTGGACGTGGCCAGTTTGATGTCACTCACGTCGAGGGGTGCCTCGCCGGCCTCTACTCGCCCCGCCTGTCTAGGGCCCCAACAGGAAGCAGTTGTTGGAGCTAAGCAGCCTCCATGGGAAAGAGTTGGCAAAACAGCTCAGTTCAAATTGGATCTGACCGAGGAGGTGGCTCAGCAGAAGCACCTCACTGAGGACTAGGAGCATAGGCTTTCCAAACAGAGGGAAGACTTGTGGGAGTGCAAGGCCAGGTACCGGCGCCTGGAGGCTCAGCGGGCTGAGATGGTCAGCCATTTCCAGGCCATGATGTAGTCCCACTGGAACGAGGCCCTCCAGCTCTTCGCCACCAGCGGTGCTTCTCTCCAGCCTTCGCCCAAAGCCCCACACCAGGAGGCCGAAGCAGACTCCGAGTCAGAATTTCTGCCCCCTTCTGACCCACACAAAAAGACCCCGAAGGGGGAAACTCTCTGCAGTAACACAAACATTCATTGCACATATCCAGCCCAGAGGCCGTAGTTTGAGGACCCCTGATTTAGTGCAATATTAAAAATGCAAATAATTTTTCTGTGGACCACCAAAATTTTCTCATGGACCACCAGTGGTCCACGGACCACCAGTTGGTGACCACTGGTCTAGTCCAACCCCCTACTCATGCAAGACTAGGGATTCAAACCACCGAACTGCCAAAATTTGTGATCAACGAGATCAGTGTCTTAGCCACTGGGCAAGTAGAGGGTTGTTTTAGAATGGTTTAAGTCCTTTTTTTGGCCTTCCTCTTCGCTAATTTTTCTACTTCTTTAGCCGAGATCTTTGCTTCTTTTTCTCTCCCCCCAACTCGTCTTTCCTTCTCTCTTCCATCTTCTAAGATGCTTTTTCCACCCTTCTCTCTTTTTAGTCTCGCCTCCCCCATTGCCAGTGGGAAAAAATATTGATCAGATCTGCCCAAATAAGAAATAAATGTTCAAGACCACTGACTATAATAGAAAGATAACTATACACATATAGACATGCCTGCTCGGCTCCAAGCCAGAAAATATGAAAAGAGACTTATGGTATCTTGCATTGCACATCATCACTGCGGCGAGATTGGCGTACGCTCAACTTTGGAAAAATCAAAATATCCCATCAGAGGAAGCTATTATAAAGAAGATTTTGGACTCTGCTGAAGCAGATAAATTGACTAAGAAATTAAAAGACAGAGATCAAACACAAATAGGTTGAACTTGGGAAAATTTTTATGGGTGGTTAGAGAAGAGGAAAATATAACCCAAATTAGATGAGAAATTATATCTATTGAGAAAATTATATTATACAAGTAAAGTGAGGTCGGATAGACCTAATTGTTTTATAAAGGTATGTAAGATGTTCTGTCTTCTCCGGATTATAATATAGATATACAGTACCGAATACTAGGTTATTAAAGTACTGTTTAGAGATACGCTTGCTCTTTTTTTTGGTCTATTTTGTTGTTTGCTTGTTTGTTGCTGTTGTGTTGTTTTGTTTGTTATTTATATGATGTGTTATTTTTCTTTTGTTTTTAATGGAAAATGTAAATAAAGATTATTTAAAAAAGAAAGAAATAAATGTTCAAAACCATTGACTATATTAGAAAGATGACTGTATACACATATCATCAGAATATATTATATTACTATTACAATATAATTATTATCCTATTACTAGAATTGTAAAAATATATGAGAAGGCAAATATTGAACAGTGAATTAGAAAAGCAGAACATACATGCTGATACGGAAAGCTTATTTCCAAAACCGGGAAATATTGGCTTAAAATTAAGGAATGGCTGGAAGGAATCATGGAACGTAGGATAGAATTGAAACCAGAACAATGTTTATTAGGCATACTAGACCCAAAAATAGAAAAGAATTATCAATATATAATATTACATATATTAACTGCTGCTAATCGCTTTGGCACAAAACTGGAAACAAAAAACTACCCCGACCCCCAGATGAAATGGCAATTAGGAAGATACTTGAATGTGCTGAAATGGACAGGATGACCGTGGAGTTAAAAGAAAGAGAAAAGTCGGACTATTATAAAATTTGGAGTAGACTGCACAAGTGGCTAGAGAATAGAAGCCCAAATAAGAAATAAATATTCAAAACCATTGACTATAATAGAAAGATAACTGTATACACATATCATCAGAATATATTATTATATTATTATTACAATATAATTATTATCCTATTACTAGAATTGTAAAAATATATGAGAAGGCAAATATTGAATAGGGAATTACAAAAGCAGAACATACATGCTGATATGGAAAGGTGTAAAATTATGCCATATTGTTGTGTTGTTTGTGTATTTTTTTTAATTTTTTTTTAAATTTGATTTATAGGCCGCCCTTCTCCGGAGACTCAGGGCAGCTTACAATGCGTTAAGCAATAGCCTTCATACTTTTGTATATTTTATACAAAGTCAGCTTATTGCCCCCACAAACTGGGTCCTCATTTCACCTACCTTAGAAAGGATGGAAGGCTGAGTCAACCTTGAGCCTTGGAGAGATTCGAACCAGCAGTAATTGCAGGCAGCTGTGTTAATAACAGGGTGCTTAGACCACTGTACTATGAGGGCTATTTGTTTGCATTTGTATTTGTATTTTTTCTTTGTATTTTCTCTCTCCCCCCCCTCCACTTT